GGGCGGTGGCTTGAACGCTGCCCGACGGGACCCCCCGCCCCCCACCCCCTGCCGCAGACCAGGAAAAGGGCCTCTGTCATTGACACTGGCCGTGCGCCTGCCCACCCCTTCCCGGTGCACCTGCTCCCTCAGGCCTGGCCGCCCTCCTGGGGTCAGACGTGCTGGGAGCCTGGGAAGGGGCTGGAGGGGTGAGGGCAGGTCCGGGGTCACTAGGCCGGCGCCAGGCCTTCCCTGCCTGTGATTCTGGGGTGTCAGCTGCTGGGCGGCACCAAGTTCACAGGGGCCCGCGGCTTCATGCACCCCCAGCGGCGGCCTTCTTCGCATTCCCTGGACCAAGACCTCTGCCCGGCCGGGCGGGGTGTGCAGGTGCCCAGGACAGAGCAGCCAGGGAGGAGCCGTGGGAGGACCAGCCCCCAGGGGAGGAGGGGGCTCAGGGCTGACCAGGCCAGGGGGCCGCAGTGGAGGGTGGCAGGGAGGAGTGGGACACGCTTCCCACACTTGGGAGGTTCTCTGTGAAGGAGCAGGCGGTGGTGTGGAGGGACGTGACTGGTGTTTGTGGGTGGTGGCGGGAGAGGAGAGGCGGCTCAGCAGGTCCCTGGAGGGCAGTGGCTGGAGTCCAGGGCCCTGGCACAAGGGTGGCCTTTGTCACCCGCCAGGATGTCAGGGGTGATGGGAGGGGCAGGAGCAGACCTGGGCGCAGAAGGGCAGGTGCGCAGGCTGCTGGCCGCACGAGGCTCGCTGACCGCTGGCTTTCTCAGGGACGTCTGAGCGGAGTGGGGAGGGGGCGATGGGACCGGAGGCAGGTGATAGGCCGCCCAGGGAGAGGGCGGGTTTGGGTCAGGGAGCTGCACCGACCTGGGTGTGGCTGTGGGTTCAGCCTCCAGTCCCTCCTGGTCTCTGGGTGTGTGTGTGTGGGGGGGCGGGGTTTAGTCCCGGAATTTGGCGAGACAGAGGCCACCTTGATGGGCAGGGAGCGGGGCTGGGCCTGGGTAAAGTTGTCGGGCGGGGTGGCTGAGTCAGGTGCACAGGACAAAGGGCTGGAGTGGCTGAGGATCGTCCGTCACCGGTCAATTCCCGGTCAAGGCACACACCCAGGTTTCGGGTTCGGTTCCCGGTGCAGAAGGCAGCCCATGTTCCTCTCTCCCTCCCGCTCCCTAAAAACACAATGAAAACAGGTTTGAAGATAGAATAAAAAGCCTCAGTCAGGGCTGCTCATTCCCCTCGGATGGAGACCTTCCCCTGAGAGCAGCGCTGAGCGTCCCCACCCAGCCCCTCGCCCCTCGATGCCGGAGGGACCTCCACCAGGTGCTGTCACTCAGCAGAGGCACAGCTGGGGTCAGGTTCACGGGCAGCAGGTGCAGAGCTTAATAACAAGAAGGGAAAAAAGAATTAGATCAACAGAGCAACCTCGTCTACATGAGGAATTTAAGCCAGACTCGAACCTGCAGACAAGGCAACAAAGGCCGTTCTCACCTTGGAGGGATTCAAGTTTTTAAATACATATATATATTTAATTGATTTTAGAGAGAGAGGAGGGTAGAGAGAGATAGAAACATCGATCGGCTGCCTCCTGCACGCCCCCTACTGGGGATCGAGTCTGCAGCCCTGGCACATGCCCTGACCAGGAATCGAACCTGTGACCTCTTGGTGCATGGGACGACGCTCACCACTGAGCACACCGGCCGGGCTAGATTCCGGTTCTTGATGACAGATTCAACAACCAAAGCCCCCTGTTTCCCACTAGATTGGAACATGTACACACGGACACACCCCTTCCAGGGAGAAGAGGAAAATGAAGTAAGAATTAAGAGTGCAGCGCGAGGCCATTCAGGCCTGCTTGGGTCATTGTGGGAAAGCGACCGCCCCCGTCTGCGGGCGGCTGTGGGTTCAGGCCACCGACTGCGTGCAGCTCGCTGTGGTTTGCCGCCTGCGTGGGGTGAGACGCGGCATCCGGAGTCCACCCGGCTCAGCAGCGCAGGGCCCACCGGCCTGGCGGGCCCTTCCCGCCACCGCGGGAGCCTGTGTGCGCGTCCTTCCAGGGAACAGTCACAGCCGAGACCTCGCAAGTGAACCGAGGAGGCCTCAGGGAGCCTCGGGTTTGCAGCGGGCTGGTCAGGAGCCAGGCGGCCCCTGGACTTGCGGTTGACATCTGGGGGGCAGTGTTGCGGGGCCGAGCCCCTGGCCCGTGGGATCTGATGGCTTCCAGGTCGACAGTGTCA